GGCCTTCCTTCGCGTTCTTTATCTTCCACGTCAAACTCGCCGTTTTTAAACTTTTGAAACCACTCACGACAACTTCTCTCACTTAAAGCAGCATCACCGTAAACTTCTACAAGCGACCGATGCGCCTCAGCAGCAGATTTCTTTAAATGAAAAAAATAAATCAAAACTTCCCGCAAATGACACTTATTCGGTACAAAACTCGACATTTTCGAACGAAAAAAATGTATACTGCCAATACAAAGTCAATAGTATTTTAAGGTTATGTTTTTGCTATATGTTCAAACTTTCTATATGATGTTTTACATCTGACGATTTCAAAGAAATCTTGTCAGTGGAGCCATCTTTTGAAAACGGCGGAACTTATTTGTATTACTAATATAAGTATAACGTGCCAAAAGATAGATTTTTATTTCTTCGTTCATGAAAACAATTATGTTGGGAGTACAGATTAGTTCGGTCCGTTTTCAAAAGATGGCTCTGACTGTTATGAATGTTTCATAGTGACAGCTGATTTCGGTGGTTTCAGAGAGGTTAGACATCTGTCAATAATATTCAGTTTATATCGCTTTGAGTTTCATACAAAACCCCTGTTTTTTACTGTGTTGAAATGTCAAATTTTGTGTTAACTAAGCAGCATTTGCGGGAGGTTTTAGTTTTCTGCTTTAATTGGAAGAAAAGTGCAGCTGAAGCGCATCGAATGCTTGTAGAAGTTTATGTTCATAATGGTAGGGTATGATTTCGAGAATGGTAATTTCTGCGTTGAAGACAAGCCTCGCTCTGGACAGCCAAAAAATGGGTGTTGTATACTATGAACTGCTACAACCTGGCGATTCCATTACGGGTCATCGGCATAGGCTACAATTGATTCGTTTGAGCCTTGCATTACGAGAAGAACGGCCGGAATACGAACAAAGACATGACAAAGTTATTCTTCTGCATGATAACGTTCGGCCTCATGTCGCAAAAGTCGTAAAAAATTATTTGAAAACGCTTAAGTGGGATATTTTACCGCACCCGCCGTATTCGCCGGACATTGCTCCTTCTGATTACTTGTTATTCCGACGGATGCAGCACGATTTGGCAAGTCACCGGTTCACTTCTTTCACAAAAATCGAAAATTGCCTCCTAACTTGGATCGTCTCAAAAGACGAGACATTTTATCGAAATGGAATTCGAAAATTGCTTGAGAGGTGGGAAAAAGTAGTAGCCAGCCATGGACAATACTTTGATTAATCTGTTCATTCATTTTGTTCTAAAATAAATGCACTTTTGACCACAAAAAATGGACCGAACTAATTTGTACTCCCAATAAAAAAATTAATACTAATGTGAAAAATACTTACTCAATAAAATAACGACTTGGCTGTACAATAATCGACAAAAAAGTACCGTACCAATAAATTCAAAGCAGACTCCTTGAAACAAGACCGAGAGTTCTCTCACTGAGTTCAATAATTTAAAAATAGAACAAACGAGAAGCATCTCAAGTTACATGAAATAAAGCTCAGAGCTCCATGGAAGAATAATTAATACTAGTTAACACATTGACAGCCGGCGACCTAAGAGACATTTAAAGCCTGAGCGCCGGCCTTATTCGCTTGTTTCTGATCACTGAATAGCCAAAAAAAATATTTAAAACATTATATATTTTTGTAAAATAGTACATTTTATTTGCATATTCGTCACATACAATTTAACGGTAATTAAAAATATAAACAAAATTGAAATTTTTAATTTATAATTATAAAAAAATACAGTTTCTCATTTCATGGTGGATTATTACATATATATAACGTAAACAGAAAACATAAGTTTTAATATTTAAGGCAAGTGTGGTATTTCTCGAAACATTGTCCAAGATGTAAAGGTACTAAGCATTCAGCACACATAAAGTTACTCTCGCTTCTTTTTTTACCAGCAGAGCAAACTTTACACGGACGTCGTACGTATCGGTTTTTTTTCCCTGATCCAAGAATTCTGGTAACTTTATGTTTCTTCATATCACCCGAAAGTCTCTGGGGGCTATCAAATTTTTGTGTGCGAGGTGTAGGAACAAGTACAGAGGTACTTGAAGTACTAGAATGAGAAGTACTAGAAGTATCATTTAATACATCTTGAGTATTTGCGAATTCCTCGATCCAAGAACGTCCAACAGTATATAAAAATTTTTTATATTATATAATGTTGTCATTCAATTCAATATATAATCTAAATGCATTAAACATTGCGCAATTTAAAAGAAACAAGACTGTCTTCTTTGTCCACTTCACCGTTTTTCTCATAATGGAATAATATGATAAATACTGATCTGCCAAATCTACACCCATCATATATTTATTATACTCTATGATGGAATGCGGTTTTATCATTTCTTGTTTCGTTTTCCAGTGTATTTTATTTGTTTTCATTAATCCTCCCGAATCTATCGTGGAAACCATGTATACGACCTTCTGTTTCGGTTTCCACGCCTGTACTAAAACTTCACCCTTTCTTTTACATCTATATTCTCTAGTTTTTAATCTGAGATGCCGTAAAGACTCGGGAACGCCCCTATTTGCTCTAATTGTACCACAAACTCGTGTACCATTTGTCATAAGCAATTCTGCGGTTTTAATGCTATTATAATAGTTGTCCATATATAAGTGGTGTCCCAAACATATATTTTTATCAAGTAATGACATAATTGTCTGGTCTAATTTTTTGCCTTCCGCAAAGTATATTTCTATGTTGAAAACATATCCGGTTCTAGCTTCGCATAGCATACGGCAAAGTAGGCCGTACTTTATTATTTTTGCCGGATTGTATGTTTTTATAGATAATTTTCCACGCCATGGAATAATGGATTCATCAAGCAAAAGTTCTTTCCTAGGCGTATATACCGATTTAAATTTATCTAATAAATAGTTCAGAATGGGCTGAATCTTCTCGAGCTTATTAGAACCGGTTATTGTTTGATTGTTTGAAAAATGCCACGTCTTCCAAATGTGGCGAAATATATTACGTGGCATTATAGTAGAGAACGATGGGGTCCTCGTATAAAAATCGGAGCACCAGTAATCATCTTTTACATCTTTCTTTACCTGGCCCATCATTATAATTATACCAATCATTATAATTATACCAAGAAATTTTTTCATCTCGGCTAGAGTAATATCACGCCACTTTGACATTTTCTTCCTATAACTCATCTTGTCCTTATTTTGCTGGTAATAGATGTTGGATTCATTGATCATTAATTGAAACAAATAATTGTCAATAAACAATTCGACGACTTCTTTTATGCTTTTCTTATTTGTAGGAAAAATCTTTGGGCCGGGGTCACCAGTAAAATCTGGTATGTTAGGAATTTTATCCACATCTGACCATACTTCACTGTAACTATGCGATTCTGTGGACATTTCACAATTACTGGAATCATCGGAATCGCTTGAATGCTGTAGTGGAATAGTTCTTGATCTTTTTCTTGGACCCACATCACTATCGCTGTCATCGACTTCTATATCAGAATCTTCTGAATGTATCGATAAGCCAATAGAGAGTCAGCAATATGCTCATTAATAATTTCACTCATATTATATGGATAAAAAGTTACAGAAGAAAAAAAACTTGTTATACTGTTCAACCAAAAACATAAGCGTACGAAAGATATACTGTTTGCGGAATATACTGCTCGAGAGTGATTCTTGCCTGGATTGTTTCTGAACCATTGTATAGGTTTTGTCTTTAGAATATGACAAATGAAGATCGGCGTAACCATGGCAAGTAAATACAAATCGATGTGTAAGACATTCATACCAGCAAAAAAATATCCACATCATCGTGGGGCAACTACTCAAGCGACAGACTCAGAAATTCGCGCTTTCGCGGGGCTGGCGCTCAAGCGACAGACTCAGAAACCCGCGTTTTCGTGGGGCCGGCGCTCAAGCGACAGACTCAGAAATCCGCGTTTTCGCGGGGCCGGCTGTCAATGTGTTAAGTATTCCGATACCAACGTCAAATAAGTTTGAGAGGTTCATTCCAAAAACAATTAATATGGATGAAGCACAAGTAGGGTGTAATGAAAATAGTATTAAACTTCTTCCTACTTTCACAGACGCAGTTAAAAACATCAAACAGCATGCAAAATTCCTAGAAGAATCAGCTTTTAAAGATTATAAAATAAAATTCTAAATGGAGAAAAAGTTAAGATTCAACAAGACATCTTGTATTTACACAAATATTTTCTTATTATTTCCTATTACTTCCCTCAAGAGCATAAGGCTTCCACGAACATCTCCATCAAACCTTGTTTCCCGTTAAACTCTTGACTTCCCTCCACGTTATGCCAGTTCTTCGGGCCCCTTCCTCTACAGTTTTTCTCCAAATTGGTCTTAGTCATTTTTATCAAATTGTTCTTATTCAATCTCTTTTACATTAGTCCTGCGGAGTTAGTCCTGTCCAAAATCTGTCTTTCTATTGCTGGCTGCTCTTTATTCAGGGTGTGACCTATCCATTTCTACTTTCTTCTTCTGATTGCTTTGGCAACTGTTTCTTCATTTACTATTTTCCACAGGTCTTCATTGCTTTTAAAATTTGGCCAAAAAATACGAAATATTTCTCTCAGGCATTTATTTGCAAATATGAGTGAGTCCCAAACGTATCCGTATGCCGAAAATGCAGGTCAGGGAGAGTCACTTTACTTTGACGCGGACGTACGCAGGGTAGTCCTAATTTAGGTTAAGGTACTTAAACCCTTTACCTGGAATGGGGCCGCGAGCGAAATATGTGGGGAAAGGATATTGGATGCGCAAAGCTTTTCGAATAAAATGAAATATAAGTTGACTAACAATCTCGCAGTTTATTGTATTAACAAGGTATGTACAAAAAAATGATCATTCAATAAGAAATTTATCTCGGAGTATACATATTGTCGATACAATTTTATCGCGTGAGTGAATGTGTATGTGTGCGTGAGTGTATATGTGAGATTTTATGGGGAAGGTAAGGAGTTAGGAAGAAGAGAATCTGATAAAGAAATATCAGACGAACTTGATGGCGCAGGGGACAAATCTTGAGTGCCGAGTCTAGGGAAGCGGGAAGCCGGACGAAAGTTCCACAGTAGGGTCCGGGGGAAGTAGGAGGTATACTCCACGAAGACTATGGGGATGAGTAATATGGAGAATTTAGAACAGAATCCGTGGAACTTATTGGGAGAGCAGAAAAAGGCGCAGGACCAGGTGTGTAAGAAGGAGCTAAGGGAGAACGAAGGGTTGGTGACGGAGAATTCTCCGTTAAAACAAAAGTTCTGAAATACATCTAGCATGTTCCGCTGGAGATTAAGGTTAGCTTAAAGTCAATCCTTAAACGCCAGTGCAAAGGCTTGACGCCTGTCCTCTACATGCAGGGTGTTCACTAAAATATCAAAGGGGAGTTAGGAAAAGGAAAGATGGGGAATATCAGATAAATCAAATGTTGATTGCAATAAGTATATACTTGTTTGGTTGAGGGAATAAGGTTACAAGAGGTTCTGTTGAAAGAGTGGAGCTGAATAGCGGCTGACGTCTCTCGGTTGCCTTGAATCTTTAAATGATCCGGGTTTTTTTTCGAGATTTCGTTTCAAAATTTTGTTCAACAATGTACCAAAAGCTAAGCCTAACAATGACTGTGTCGAGCAGAATAACATACTGATAAAACTGTGATAAACAGAATGGTAAAAAGACAATGTTGAGAATTGCTAGAAACTGCTAAGAAAGAACTATCAAAAATTTCTAAAGGTTTCTGAGAACTGAGTAAGCCTGCCAAAAAATTGCGAGGAACTGTGCGAGGCGGCAAAGGAATTAGGTTTTTATAGCGAGAATTTTGGGAGTGGCAGATAACGATTGCCAGTGAGATCAATTTTAGTGAAAAGGAGATGTAGGAGGTTGAGAGGTCTCCCAATGGGTTTTTTAGGAGAAGGTGACAACCCTTAAGATGTAGGAGACAAAAATTGACTACTCCTACGATTGAAAAGAGGAACCCATATTTTCTAGAACGTACCCCTTTTCGGGAGGAAAAAATGGGTGGGGGTTGGACGTGGTCTTTGGAGTGCTGGCAAATTATAAGAGAACACGTAAGAGATGAGGGTGAGAGGGGATCGCTGCATTTTTTGCACCTTTTTTGGATGAAAGGAGAGAAAATGTGGCATGATTCAGATGTGGAGGTCAGGATAAGTTACGTCAGTTTATGACGAAAAGTAAGGATGATGGACTTGTTTTCTAGAATCGCATGATCTTTCCGACTCTATGACGTAATGATAGCACAAATCTACAAAGTTCAAATACAAAAAGCAAAATAGTGACTTCCTATGTAATTTTGGTCACTGAATCCGTCAGCAAAAAATGTTTATGACGTCCGATTTTTTAGATAAATCGAGTAATATGGGCCAAAAACAATGATTTTTGTCATTTTCAAGGCGTTACTATGGCTGACCAAATTATGTTTTTAACATTCTCTCAGCGACATCTTAAAGCGTTATCTTTTGTCTTGAAATTGCGACTTTTTTAATTTCTGTACGATTTTTTTTCGCTGAGTTATAAAAGTTTGAAGATGGAAACTTTTTGACGATGAGAATATGCATTGCCGAAAGGGTGATAAATTGACAACTCAATGAATTATTAAGTAAATATTTAAAAATTGATATCTATTGTGGGTTATTTGAATTGCTGAATACGAATCTGACGTCAGAATTACAAAATTTTAAATGGCGGATCCAAAAACAACTCCTGTACTTATCTAATCAAATCTAGCCCAACCAGGACATAAGAAAATAATAATGCACACCTAATAAATTCGTCACCTAAATAGCCTCACTGAAATTAGTATAGCACAAAAAATTTTAATTTTAACCTAACAACTCCTATATCTAAAATCCAAAAATCATCCAACCAGCTAAGGCAAGAGCCAGGGTTTACTCAGCCAATAATGGCAAGCTCATCCATAACTAAAAATATTTACACTCCTTCGAAAAAACGCTTATGGCTCTTCCATCTGTGACATGTATTGTAGTTATCACGTTTGAGGCATCAATAGTAATCAAAGTAATCTGCCAACATTCTATCTGCCTTGGTATCGTCTTTCAATTTCTTTTATGTCCTGGTGAAATCTCTCTCCTCGTTCATCGTTAACATGCCCTAAATTTTCAGGAAAATAGTCCAAATGACTATGTAGGAAATGAACCTTCAAGTTCATGTTACAATTGAGATTCTTGAAACTTATCAGCATTTTCTGCACCAGAATCTTGTAATCTTTGTCTCTTTTGTTTCCTAAGAAACCTTCCACAACATTTTTGAATGCGTCCCAAGCAGCTCGTTCGACGTTACTGTTGTCTGAAAATCAGTCTTTCATCAATTTTCGGATGTCAGGACCAACAAAAACACCTTCTTTTATTTTTTGCATCACTAAGACCTGGAAATTTTTCGCATATGTACTGAAAACATTCTCCTTCTTTATTTAGTACTTTGACAAATTGTTTGATGAGTCCTAATTTAATTTATAGTAAAGGTAAAAGCACTTTAACCGGTGGTACAAGAGAAGGATTCACATTATTCATTGGAACTAAACGTTCCCTAGGTGGCCACATATTTTTCGTCCACTGCTCTTGACGTACCCTACTATTCCACTGGCATAAGAAACAAGGGTATTTAATGTATCTAGATTGTTAGCTAAGGATTAAGAATATAGTTTTCTGATTCCCACAAATACTTCACTTATGTTTGTCATACTTGATAGCCCCGAGAACAACTTCGAAATTCTCATATGTTTCTTTTAAATAAATGGAATGAGAAACCGGTATTGTTGCATATTTCCATTATGCAATAGTACTGTCTTCAAACTTTTTTTTGAGGAGTCAATAAAAAATCTCTATTCATCTCTTAGCTTTGATGTTCTGTTACCTATCGCCGGTGACGTTATATCGTGCCCTGGCTGCGCACAGCGTGGCGGGGACACTTCATTCCTTGCACAGAAAGATTATGTAGAGCATGTTAGGAGGGATCACCCGCGTGCAGAGGTGAAGTGGAGATGTCGAGTCTGCGACAGAGCTTTCAAAGGCGCACATAATGTACTCTGTCACTTTCCGAAATGTAAGGGGCGCCCCGCTGAGCAACACCTGGAGCACGCTTGTGAGGAGTGCGGGTCTTCCTTCCGCACCGTACGAGCCCTCTCCATACACGAGATGCATGTACATCCAAACATCAGGAACAGAAAGCACCGTCAGAAAATTGAAGCAGAACCGAAACCAAAAGGCCGCCGTAATTATGTCTGGACGGAGGACGAAATCAGATTGCTTGGAGANCATAATGTACTCTGTCACTTTCCAAAATGTAAGGGGCGCCCCGCTGAGCAACACCTGGAGCACGCTTGTGAGGAGTGCGGGTCTTCCTTCCGCAGCGTGCGAGCCCTCTCCATACACGAGATGCATGTACACCCAAACATCAGGAACAGAAAGCGCCGTCAGAAATTTGAAGCAGAACCGAAACCAAAAGGCCGCCGTAATTATGTCTGGACGGAGGACGAAATCAGATTGCTTGGAGAGCTTGACCACAAGTTTAAAAATGATAAGTACCCTAACGTAAGGATCCGACAGCATATGCCTCAGAAGATGCTAAAGCAGATCAGCGATAAGCGAAGAGAAATCCATGCAAGACCGAGGGATACACAAGAGGAAGAACAGCAAGAAGAAGAACAAGCT